GCTTGACCACTGATGGGCACTTACAAATGAAAGACTTAGCTTCAATAACTTCGGTAATGAAAGTGATGGCTAGTTAATGATGAAACTGAAAAATAATTAATGAAATTTAGTGGCGAAACCCAAGAATAATTAATGAAAACTAATGGAATTGAGTGGTGAAACCAAAGAACAATTAATCAAAACTAATGAAATTGAGTGGTGAAATCAATGAAATCGAATTGATGAAACTAATGCATAATATAATTATTTAATAGTTTCACCAGTAATTCAAGAATAATAAATACAAGTAGTTTCAGTCCTTAGTTACAACTTTCATTACTTGTCTTCGTTAATTTTCACTGATTATTAGTAAAAACCAAATATTAAAATATGTAACTAAGTTACCGAAATTAGGCTATTCCTATTTGTAATATTTAATCTAAGGAACGAAACTAAATTATTTGATTTTTAATTCTTGATTTTCTAACAAAATTTAAGACCTTGACAACATTTTTAAAATAAATAAATTTAAATTCTAAAAGAAAAACTTCTAAAGGAAATTCAATAAATATAATATTTGAAAGAATTTCCTTCAAAAAATCAAATTTAAACAATGTAAAATGCATTTTTAAAACGAAATATTAGTTTTATATCATTTTATATTTGATATTTTTAGAGTAATTTGTAAACAAAAAAGTTTATTGTATGCATTTAGAAAAGTAAAAATATTATTAAAAATGAGGTAACCTTCGAAGAACCACAAAAAAATAATAAATAAATAAATTTAAAAAATATTCTTAAAAATGATTATAAAATTATTCTAGGAATATATTTTGGTATTCGTGTACTTTCCTTAAAGATTTATAAATAATTGTTTAAAATAAATCTTGTATTTTTTTACTGTACAGAAAGCTACTGTAGGCTACTTTACACTTCAGAAGGCTACTGTAGGCTACTTTGCACTTCAGAAGGCTACTGTAGGCTATATAACGGTGTATAGAAGGCTACTGTAGGCTACTTTACACTTCAGAAGGCTACTGTAGGCTACTTTGCACTTCAGAAGGCTACTGTAGGCTATATAACGGTGAATAGAAGGCTACTGTAGGTTACTTAACAGTTTAGAAGGCTACTGTAGGCTATATAACGGTGTATAGAAGGCTACTGTAGGCTACTTAACAGTTTAGAAGGCTACTGTAGGCTATTAAACACTACTATTGCAAGCTATTTACTACTTTACAGACGATATTGTAGGCTATTTATTACTGTACAGAAGGCTATTACAGGCTATTTAAACAATATGCAGAAAGATTTTTATGCACCGAATTACTTTAAAATTTGATGAAAAAAAAATGGTTCCTCCTCTCACTCGTTTCTTATTCTAGAATCATAAACAACATAACAATTATTGTTCAGATCACATACTTAGTCAAGGACGAGAGGTCATGGACAGTAAAATGCTATATGATGGGAAATTACAAGCAAAGAACACGAAACGATTCTCATTTAAATTCATCACTCGAGTTTGATTTTGAAATAAATGCGTGTTTTTCTTCATATAATTCCATTTTTGTCTACTGAAATGAAACGTTTTTGTACTTATTTTCGTTTAAATAAATAAATAAATAAGTAAAATAGTAAATAATTTTAATAATTTAAATAATAAGCTTCTTGAGAACTTTTAAATAAGTAACTGTTTTGTCATTCTCTTTGGTTTAATTATTAAAAATAGATTATAAATTTTAACGAGAACAAACATTCAGACGAACTAAAAAAAAAAGCAAATATTCAAATTTCTAGACTAGTTTATTTTAATTTTTGAGAGAAATTTTATCAGACAGACACGTGGGCACCGAATATTATAAATGCAATAAATAATAAATAATATTAGTTTTGTTTTCATATCGTACGTTGACTTGTCTGTCTGCAGGATTTTCTGAAAATTAGACATGAATACATTCTTTAGTTTAATTTTCATGAAATTCAGAAAACAGATAAATAGACACACAAATGAATATAAAAGATATATACAGTTATATAAATGGGTAAATACAATACAAATCAAAACAACAGTCTGAAAAAAAAAATGAATATTCAGTTGTCTGTCTGTTTGTCTGTCCGAAAAATAGTTCGAATTAACACTTAATACAGACAGATATATTTGTCCATGTGTCTAAGTTTTTTACTCTATTTACTTGTCAGTTCTCAACATTTATATCGGTGATATCGGTGATGATTTCCATCCACTATCGTCAATCTCAATTAGTCTGACTATCAATCAACCTGTAGATTGATTGATAGATTATCGACTAAATAAATATAACATTTTAATTTCAGCTGTGACAGACAGACAGACAATAATAAACAAATTTCTGCATTGTATTTATAAAGTCTTCGATAAATAAACCTATCAGAAGATATAAGTTAATGGTGCGAATTATTTGATCAAGGCACTGATAAAAACTTTATTGTTTTGCACAGACTTCATTTAAGGCTATAAAATAAAATAAGGCTAAAGCAGACTGATTAATTGTCTTCATACATAACTAAACTTTACTAATATGACTCATTGCCTTAGTTACACACATTAAATTTCTATAGCCTGATTTATTTATACCTTGGATATATACGTATGAAATTTCACTAGACTATAACTTTATTACCTTGAATACACATACTAAATTTCACCAGCTTGAATGAAGGCAAAAATATTTCAGCAGCTTAATTCATTGTGTTCAATGCAAACATTATACTTTACCAGTTAAAAACACTAACTTTCAGTAGCCTGATTCTTTATCTCGATAACAAATAATACACTTTAGTAGCCTTATTTAACAAAATTTAAGTATAAACCAGATAAAAATACAACAGAAAACTTAATATTTATTGATACAGCAGTGTTTGTTTGTTTGTTTGTTTTTTTTTCTGTTACTGATAACGCATAATAGTTAACCTAGATTTATTTATATTCGCGTAAGTTGCAAGGCAATTTCAAAACAGATTTATTATTATTATTATTTGTTATTAAACTGACCAATTGAGATCACTTTATCTGACCCTAATAACTTCCTCCCCCTCCCTTTTTTTTTTAATACAAAATACTATAATTCTCTTAAAATTGATATAAGACTCAGGCTTAAGTAATTTACTTTCGTCGGTATTTATTATTATTAAGTTTTACCGTTGAAATAATTAATATACAAGCTTAAAATTATTAAAATTAAAAGAGATTTTTATTAAAGAATTTATCGAATTTTATTTACAAAATGTCTTTTATCATTTTTTTTGTTTATTTATTTATTATAAATTCAAAATTACTCTCATTAATTTCTGAATTTATAAATAAAATTCTTTTAAATTTATTGAATTGTTTTAATTAAGAAATTAAGCATTAAAAAAACATTCTTGAAATTTACTTGCAATTTTTAAATGAGAGAATTTAATTTTGATTGAATTGGAAAGATGTTCCAGTGAAAGTAGGTTTCCCATTGTGTCTGCAAGACTTAGCCTTGACACGGTGATTAATGCTCTGTTTTAAGTGATATCGGCCAAGAATAAAGTTTAAAATCATATTGTTGAAATAAAAAAGACGATTTGCATATTATTAAATATCTTATTTCCAAAATAAATAAATAAAAATTGTGCGTATGTGAAGCAACCGCGTAAAACTTCAGCCGTACACAACACGAAATTGATTTTAAATACAGTGAAATCTGTAAAACGAAGAGTTTTAATTAACCTGCCTAAACGGGAAAAGTCTTTGTAACAGAGCGACTTTTCCATATTAAAAAAACCTGTCCAGGACGGAAACCTGCCTAAACGGGAAATGGAGCGAGTTTTCTATGTTAAAAAGTAACGTCCGAAATTGGAAATCCAGTGTACATCTTACCGGAAAGACCATTCGGTACGGTGCAATTCCGGCTTACACAGGTTTTAGTATACTTTCAAATCGTATTTTTACACTAGCGAAAGGTTATTTTAACATTGTTTTCGAGTTTTTGGTGTCTAAATATACTAAGGTTCCGACAGAGATGCCGTCGGAAGGATCATCAGTTTGGTGTCCCGACACACGAAGACCACAAAACTTACTCCTTTATATGAATAAACACAGTTTAAAATAAAGTTTCTTTCGTTAAGTTATGAAAAAAAATCTATTTCTTATATATTTTATTGATTTCATTTCTAAACTTTCGTGCCTTTCGGAGATGGGTGAGGCCCACATTTATCAAAGGGACTTATTCTCAAACCCTGTATATGTATTCGTGGATGGATTTACACGTAAATTACGTAATTTAGGACCTCGTAATAGAAGCTACGAGGATACAAATTAGGGCCTCGTGCTTTTATGTTTATTATTTAATGGAGGGGTTGGCCCATTATACATTATATCTAAGTCAAAGATCTGCCCCTGAAACTATTGATTACATAAAATAAGGAAACATATGAATTAAGGAAAACTGATTTTAAGTCAGATTCATAAATTAATTCAGCAGATTTTTCCTGATTTTTGTTTTTAAAAGAGAGAAAAAAAAAATACAATATTTTCCTTAAATTTCATAAGAAATTTCTTTTAATTTTCAAGAATTTTTAACCGAAATTTTTATAAGAAAAGAATTTAATTCGAATAAAATTATTTTTTAAGTACTTTTATAAAATCTTTATGCGACTTTTTATGATTTTTATGCGGCTTTATTTGATTTTTATACATTTTTACATCATTTTTATGCAGTTTTATATAATGTTTATGCCTTTTTATATGATTTTTATACGGTTTAATTTAATTTCGATATAGTTTTATGGTTTTACACAGACTTTATACAGAAAAAAAATATATGAATAAAAGAATCTCTCATACAGTTTTCATATAGAAATATAATAAACATAGTTTTGATTAATTTCTATACAATTTTACACGGGAAGAAAAATATAAATAAATAAATAAATATAATTTTTCTCAATAAAACTTTCCATTCAAATCGATTAACCTTACAATCTTTAATTAAAATTGAAACCAGGAACAAACTATGCATAAACGAATACGGTTTGTCGGTCGACGAAACCCCCGAAACGTCTTGTAACAAAGGAAAAAGACAATAGAAATTCGGGCCTTTATGTAATTCCTCCATTGTTAGAAATCGTAAAAGTAGCGCTAGGTGGCGAACGTGTTTAGAGATTGGTCATTACACAAGGCCGTCCTCTATCAGGCAGTCATAGTGGAATGGAACCGGTGTTAAGTTTGAGTTACTCCTATACTTCCTCCAATTACGTGACGAATTGGAAGGGTGAGAATGTAATTGGACGTCTCCCATCCGTCCAACGTAATAAAAGTCAGACTATATTTGGTAGGCTGTTGTTTTCTAACCATTACACGCAAGACATGATGTCGAATAAGTCACCTAACCACATAACTGCTCCCATAACTGACTTGAGAATGGCACAGGCAGCCGCTAATAGTGATATGCCACCACCAAAATCTTTGCTTATGTATCTAGTCAGGTAATATTGTCTTTTCTTTTATTTATTTATTACTACATTAAGTTTGTTCTTGTTTATTTTTTTTTTAATTTTCTGCCATACTTGACACGTTTCGAAACTTTCCCCTTTGCCTATTTTTGGATCGGGTCCTGGGATGTTGCCAAATAAATCCAAGTTGTTTATCGCATAGTTTAGTAAACACGAGTTAATTTGGGTTTCGGTTCGGAGCCAGATTTACGTACGGGCCTCGTATTTTTCTTACATTTGAAAGGAGGGAGGCCATTTTAGGGCCTCGTTAGGCGTGAAGCTTACCTGTTAATTATGAAAATTGATTAGTAGTAAGATAATTGAATCGGATTTGTATAGAAGCTATTATTTAAGGCCTTATATTTGAAAGGAAGAACCATTTAGAAGCCTCGTTAAGCGTGAAATTCGCCTTTTAATTTCGATTATTGTAGAAGAAAATTGACAAGTATCAAGAGAAATTGAACGAAGGTCGATAAAATCAAGAATTTTTCTTCGTTTTAACAACCTTTAAACCTGTTATTTCATTCGAATTTCTTATTATTTATACGGAATTAAATCAAATTTATTAGAAAGTAATTAATTAAACTAGCTTAATTGCCTATAATTTCGAGTGTTTTATATCAAAACAGTTCCCTTATAAGGTAATTAATTAGTTATAGAGACTTAAAATAAGTAAATAAAAAAGGAATTTATGAAGAATTCTACAAGTACATGAATGACGAGTTTTAGTGATAAAATCATCATTCTTACTACCCTAGTAGCAAGTAGCCAATTAACCATTCACACTAAAATGACGTCAAACACTACGTAAGCTTCCCATTCATCTAAGGTAACCCTCCATAAGTAATAAAAAAAAAAGGTTGCTTGATAACTGAGCTCACAATAAATTAATTTTTCTCGAGAAGTGTGTAATTAATTCTCTTCCTTTAAAAAAATAATCGAATTCTTTGTGATCTTTTTTTTTTCTGTAATGATGGGTGGGATATTGAATATATATATATAGGCCTATACAAAGTAGGTCGTCGAAGAAATGGCCCATTTTGATCGGGTGAACGATTTCTTTATTCATAATTATTATTTCCTGATTGATAATTTAACACTTCGGAAGTAAAACCGTATCGGACTTTAGGACTTTGAATAAAGAATAATTCGTCCTTGATCCGTTTTTTAATGTGGAAAAATGGTAAATTTAATAAGAAATTAGATACGATGCCCTATTTTAGTCAACAACATTTCCTCCCCCTCCACCCTCTTTTATCTTTCTTGCTTTCATACCAGATTTAAGTGGCTTTATCGACAGAATTATGTGACTTTTAACGAATTATATTCGCTATTTATGCACCAGTTTTAACAGGAAATTTTAACGTTTTGCCCTATTTTAATAAGCAGCATTCGACTCTCTCTTTCTCTCTCTTCTCTCCTCATTTTTCCTGTTTTTCTTTTCTCTTGTTTTAATTCGTTTTTAAATGACTCTATCGACGGAAAATATTTAACTTTCAGTGAATTAAAATCGTTATTTGTTAGTGAGTTTAATATGAAATTAGACACGATGCCCTATTTTAATCAATAACAATAGTCTCTCTGTCTCCTCTTCATCTCGCTCCTCTTATTTTAATTTAAGAAAATAACATTTAAATAACTCTATTGACAAAAAACGTATGATTATTAAAGAAGGACGATCCTGTTTTTTAGTTTAAAATATTTATTTTTAGCTCCGTATTATCCTCTAATAAACTCTAAACTAAGAACCTGCATCTCTTTCCGTGATGTTATCATTTTTTGTATGTGGCTCTAGAGCATTAGTCGCTTCGAGAATGGATTAATTGTTGCTTATTTCCGGGCATTCAACTCAGTTTTTATTTTAAAAAAAAGTCATTAAAAGTTTTTTTTTTAATATTTTTAAAACGAAAAACCTTATTAAAAAGGTATCTGATGCATATTCATACGAAGTTATCAAACTGGATTTATCTATAAATTTACATGTTGGCATTCACTTTATTTGTTCGTCTGTTTGTCTATCCGTACGATTTCTAAGAAACTGAACGTTAAATCTATAGAAGTAATGCTTTATTTCCATTATACGATAATTTATTTATTTAAAACTTAAAGATTATAGCTTCTAACTTTAAGTCACTCTGCAATTTAATTATGTTAACGAGATTTTTCGCTTTGCCTATTGGGAAAATTCCATAATTTTTCTATCAAACTTTAAGAAATGCTTCTGGAAATATTCAGCTAAACTTCAGCTGAAATATTCATTAAATTATTCAGTTTATTTTACAATAATAAAGTGAAGAATACAGTTAATTAATTTTGTGAAATTTCTCTTTGCAGAATGGGTAGCTTCACTTCGTCTCCAAAATACTTGAACGAGGACACTGCTGACGACGATTTAGACGATTCTTTAGATAGAGATTATTTAATCGAGAGATGTAGACAAGAACTTAAAAGATTACCAAATAAAATAATCAGACATTGGGTTGTTGTCGATGGACATCACAATGATCCTCCTCAAGACGATTTGATTCGAGTTATGCAATGGAATATGCTCTCACAAGGTAAGCCACGTTTAAATTTATCATAAATTATGTTGCAAAGGCATTAATTTTTTTAATATAAAAGAATTTGAACTCTAAATTAGTAAATTTGGTACTTGGGGCCGGATTTACTTATGAGGACGCTTCAAGGTACGAACGCCTCGCAATTTGCAATTTATGATTGTAGAGAGCATTGTCTCTTGCATATTATAACTTAGGACTACAAATAAGTTTAAGGCCCTAAGCTATAATATATGAGAGGCCCCGTAGTTGACCATTCCTTCGATTCTACTAGGCCATTGCACCATTTCTCTTGCTGCAACAAACTATTTAACGTTAAGAGGAATCAATTTTAACTATTTACGTGCCAGGAAAAGTATTATTTTCTTTAATTTATTATTTAATTAATTGAAAGCGAAAGGAATGGCAAAATCTGCTGACTCATTGTCATTGTGGCTATTGTGAAATGTCTTGTAACACGATCGTATCGCGTCGAAACTTAAAAATACATAATTATGTAAATTGAGATTAATGGTTCTAGATTTAAATTTAGAAAATAAAATATTTTCTAAATTTAATATTAACAAATGAGATTTCTTTCTATGTATTCAGCTCTTGGAGAAAAAACCGACAATTTCGTGTCTTGCCCATTAAGTGCCTTGGATTGGAAGCTGCGGAGATGGAGGATACTAGAGGAGATTTTAACGTACCGTCCCGATATAATATGCCTGCAGGAGGTGGACCATTTTAATTTTTTGAAGAAAACACTGGGTATTCTAGGTTATTTAGGTTTCTTCTTCCCTAAGCCCGATTCCCCTTGTTACTACATCAAAGGAAACAACGGGCCAGACGGGTGCGCGTTATTCTACAACGCCGAAAAATTCAGGCACGTAAAAACGTGTAGCCGAATTCTAGAAGTATGGACCTGTCAATCCAACCAGGTAGCATTGCTGACGTTACTAAAAAGGAAAAAAGACGGAAGAGAAATCTGCGTGGTCACAACTCATCTGAAGGCTCGTCAAGGTACACTGCTGCCCACACTCAGAAACGAACAAGGAAAGGACCTCTTAGATTTTATACGTATGCACTTTAATAAAAGGTCGGTCGTTATATGTGGTGATTTTAATGCCGAACCGACCGAACCAGTATATAGGACAATGTTATCATCCCAGGAAGTGAAACTAGATAGTGTCTACCGCCATTTAAGTAATCACGGTGTGGAACCACCTTACACAACGTGGAAGATTCGCGAAGAGGGTGAAGTCTGTCAGACTCTAGATTATATATTTTACACGCCACAATTACTACAGGTACATTCCGTATTACAGTTACCAACGGGTGACGATATAGGTGTCAATAGGGTGCCATCTTTCACTTATCCTTCGGATCACTTCTCTTTAGTTTGTGACGTTCGATTTCGAGAAGCCAGTTGAATAATTCTTTAAATTTTAAGCAGAGACATTTATTTTCTTAAATTTCCCACCGCTTTTTTTTTTTTTTTATAAGAAACGTTCGAGAATTTCGTGTGTACGTGGTGTCAATGTTCCTTATCTTTTACTACTGTTCGAATGGGATTTTTAAGTTAGTTTGTGTAATTTAAGCTTAAAACTGAAGATTTTTTTGTATTAATGTTAATAAAATTCACGATAAAAAAAAATGCAGAGAAAAATGTACAGCAGCAACTATAGAAAACAAGTGCCTTGACTGCATTTTACTTTTTTTTAATGTTGCTTAATGTCGTTAAGTCACTCGTAGTTGCATAAATGCTTTGTATATAAAGTGTAAAAATATATATAATTATNGGAAAGCGGCGCCGAACGTCACACGTACACGTTTACACGTTTAAAACGTGCGCCTCAACCTCTCTAATACCTAAATAGAGGCCAGTTTTTCATAAAAGACCTCCCGACAGGCATTCATTCCTCCAAAAACTGGAATGTTTAGTGTTGTATATACCACAGATTTAGACATAGACACCAAACTCTCCATGTTACTGGAAATCGTTTCGTCGATTGCAGCGCCACGAAACTAGGTCATATGTACGAAACATTACGTTAGATTTTGACTAAATTTTAAATTACATGAATTAAATAAGAAATAAATTTTGAAAACAAACTTCTATTTTTTTTTTTTTTGTTAGAAACAAAGCTAAATATATACATGGATAAATATAGTAATGATAAATATGCATATCCATCTCAATAGACGTCATAGATTTTTCACCTTCAAGGACAAGTTACGGTTTTATGACATGCATACCGGATATGACCAAGTATTAAAGTTCAAGATCGTATTTTCTAACTTATGTCATTCAGTTTAATATAAATAATTCGTTATTTCTTTACAATATTTTATTATAAAACTTTGATTTTATGTATAAGCAACATGTTACAAGAGTTATTATTCCGTTATTTTATATAATTTAATGAAATTCATTACTCATGTAGATGCTTGAACATAAATACAAATACGTATTGCAATGTATCCAGAGATGCATTTAAGTTCTTTTTATGTGTGTAATTTCTTTGTAAGGGTGTTTATTAGTTAAATTAATCAAAAATTTTTCTCTGATTTTCAGGTATGTACGACTTGGACACGTTGCATTATTGTTCACATTTCTTAATCAGAAGGCCACAGTATGTCATGTATTGTAAGTTGTATAAGGTTGTACATTTGGCATACACGCCCAAAAGTAACTCACAAATTATATTTATTGAAAAATAATAAAATACATGATAGAAAAAGCTATACTAGAAACCATCTTTGATGGCTTAAAACAGTGTTTCCAAAACTTTTTGGATTATTGCTATCTTTAAATGCATATATAACATATATATATATATGTTGTTTGTTCAAAATAAACTTTTATCTCTGTTTCCTTTCAGTGTGCCCTTCAGACTTCTACTGCTTTGAAGGGAGCTGTAGTGCCCACTTTGAAAATCACTGGTTTAAGTCTTAAATCATCACTGTTTTGACGGTTTAGATCTTAATTAACCATCAAAGCCTTGATAGTTTACATGATAAATCAGCAGAACTTTAATATTTTATATATTAATCGCTAAATTATTATTAAGATTATTTAAATAAATTTAAAATAATTGAATTACCTTTTTAAGTATATCCCTTGTAAGCATTATGAGGAGTAATTTATCAAAGGAAAAGTTAATGTTATAAATAGAAAACACTTTCATTTTCATGGAAACGATTAAATGATAATGAATTATAACGTTATATTTAGTGAAAATTTATGAAAAAAAAAAAAAAAACAATTATCTGTACGAATGTATAATTTATCTAGTTTTTCATTGAAACTTGTTTATAATTACGATATCTCTGAACGGTGACCTTAAAAATATTACTTTTAATTCAGATTAAAAAAATAAATAAATTAGAAATTATCGTTCAACCTTCGTTGAAAGTTATTTTTAATATTAAAAAATTAATTAGAATATTGAATTTGTTTGTAATTAAAAGTGCTCGTACTGACAGACAACTGGTACAAATATCAACGTGAAGAAATTCAAATGTAACTGGAATCTGAAAAGTACACGTGCCGTAAAGACATTTTTTTTACATCATTAATCATGTGTCAAGAGAAAATATGCAGATCAGGGCCGGATTTAATCCTAAACAAACTAGGCAATTAATTATGGACTATATCTGTTAATCTGTTTGTAAATGTGTAATGAACATAGTGGCATTCATAGTTTCTGTAGGGCCCGCCAATGGCCGAGTTGATAAAACCACTGAATAGTTGTAGTTGGTCGTGGGTTTGCACCTGGCCAACGGACTGGCCACGTGAAACTTTCCGAGTTTTCTTTCTTTCTTTTCTTTCGGGGTTTATATAGAGATTCTGTTCAGAGTTTTCTTCACGTTTGTAACTCCTAAATAGAGCCCAGTTTCCTTTAAAATGTCCTCCCGGGAGGCAGTTCGCCCACGTGTCGCCTTGTTGTAAATAAATAATCTAAACTAGCTTTTTCAAGAGGGTACAGTAGTAAGTATACAATATAAGATTAACTTTGAGATTCCTAGATTTGCCTAAGACATGAAATTTTCTTAAAACGGCTCTTCTGCAGATATTAATGAAATTCGCATGTTAAATAAATCCTATAAAAATTTGAGGAAATTTTCTCGCTTTAGCTCAGGAGGAAAGTGAAATGATGAAATTTTTAATTCTCTTTTTTTATTGTGGAAAATCGAAACTTTTAGGCTTAAGGGAAAGCGGCGCCGAACGTCACACGTACACGTTTACACGTTTAAAACGTGCGCCTCAACCTCTCTAATACCTAAATAGAGGCCAGTTTTTCATAAAAGACCTCCCGACAGGCATTCATTCCTCCAAAAACTGGAATGTTTAGTGTTGTATATACCACAGATNGTAGGGCCCGCCAATGGCCGAGTTGATAAAACCACTGAATAGTTGTAGTTGGTCGTGGGTTTGCACCTGGCCAACGGACTGGCCACGTGAAACTTTCCGAGTTTTCTTTCTTTCTTTTCTTTCGGGGTTTATATAGAGATTCTGTTCAGAGTTTTCTTCACGTTTGTAACTCCTAAATAGAGCCCAGTTTCCTTTAAAATGTCCTCCCGGGAGGCAGTTCGCCCACGTGTCGCCTTGTTGTAAATAAATAATCTAAACTAGCTTTTTCAAGAGGGTACAGTAGTAAGTATACAATATAAGATTAACTTTGAGATTCCTAGATTTGCCTAAGACATGAAATTTTCTTAAAACGGCTCTTCTGCAGATATTAATGAAATTCGCATGTTAAATAAATCCTATAAAAATTTGAGGAAATTTTCTCGCTTTAGCTCAGGAGGAAAGTGAAATGATGAAATTTTTAATTCTCTTTTTTTATTGTGGAAAATCGAAACTTTTAGGCTTAAGGGAAAGCGGCGCCGAACGTCACACGTACACGTTTACACGTTTAAAACGTGCGCCTCAACCTCTCTAATACCTAAATAGAGGCCAGTTTTTCATAAAAGACCTCCCGACAGGCATTCATTCCTCCAAAAACTGGAATGTTTAGTGTTGTATATACCACAGATATAGACATAGACACCAAACTCTCCATGTTACTGGAAATCATTTCGTCGATTGCAGCGCCACGAAACTAGGTCATATGTACGAAACATTACGTTAGATTTTGACTAAATTTATCTTCAAATACAGTAATTAAATGACAGTATTTATTGTTCGTAGACTTTTAAAGGCATAGTGCTTAATGTACCCAAAAAAACAAAACAAAAAAAAAGGGAATTTCTGGTTTATCCGAAAGACCCCCTAGTTAGAAACTTTATGGCTTATAAATGCAATAAATTAAATTTATCTAAAAATTTCTATTATAAAACCGGTTGTATACGTAGATGTAGGGCAAAATATATAAAAATACGGTCAAATTTCGATTTAGTGCTTTGAAATTGGCGCTAAACCCGAAACAATAAGAATTATAGCAATGCAAAATCGTACACTTTGTAACTAACGAATAATAGGAAATTTTCTGCTTAATATTTAAGAGAAATATCCATTGGCGCTTTATGAAGGTGGCAATGTTTAGGAAATCGCTATGTTGAGGAATGACTATGTGAATAGAACCAATAAAACACAAATAAAAATAGATTTTTTTCCAGCACTTCTAAGCAGAAACTTATGCATATATAAGTTAATTTTACATAAAAGACTAAATTGGGGGAGTCTTTGACGCGAACAAACTTAAAAATGTCAAATTGAATACAGTAAACCCTCGCTGGCATTAAAATCCCGCTATTACAGTCTTTGTTTTGTTTTGTTAAATTATGGCAACGCAACACTTGGGCGATGCCTTCCGGGAGATCTTTTTAAGGGTAACTGGTCCCTATTCAGGTGTTACAGACGTGGAGAAAACCCGGAAAACTGCACGTGGCCAGCTCGTCCTGGCAAAACACGAACCCACGACAGAACTTCCAGTGTTCAGGGAACGGCCCACCAGTGGCCAAGCGGTGGGCCGTTCGACGGGTCTATATATTATAGTTGTATAAAATGTAATGCCCACCACTGACCGAGTAGATTAAATCGCTGAACACTGGTCGTGGGTTCGCGCCTGGCCAATGCGCTGGTCCGCGTGGAGTTTTCCGGGTTTCACCTAATTAGGGCCCGTTTCCTATAGAAAATCTTTCCGGTAGGCATTTCCCCCATCAGCTCGCCCTCGTGATGCTTAGCCTTAGCCCATGAAACAATTTGTTACGGATATATTAGGTTCCGTCCTTCATTACTATTGTGGACCTGGCCTAATTATAATGGGTATAATATATAAAAGGACTCTCTTAAGCCCACAGAACGAAAACAACCAAAAATAAAAAATGAAACATGCTGTACTGAGAGAGTTGTTTTCTGGTTCAAGTCGGATTATCTGACATTTTTGCGGATGAGTTGACCTCGATATGTCGGGCCCTATTTCTCAATAGTTGAGTGGTCTCATTGTTAGCCTTGTTGAATTGACGTTGGGAACTTAAGAGACAGGCCTCTTACATCTATTAAGGCAGAAAGAGTTATAAAAATAATAAAATCGCTAAAACGTCAGCCTTTTAGTATTGTTTTTATTTTTTAATATAAAATAAATACAAATTTTATAGAACTAATTATTAATTAACAAAAGAAACTCTACAAATAAAAATAAATCGAAA